TCATATCGTCAACATACAGCATTACTTGAATTTACAGATTGACGAGCACACATAATAAGATGATCATTGAATGATTTATCTTGTCGTTATAGCAACTGTAATAGGAGTTGAACAGTTTTTACTATGCCTCAAAACGTTTCTGATTATACGTGTAGTTAGGTATGTATTTTTTTTGCCCGGAGCAGGAGCAAATAAAAAAAATCCTATAAAAAAAAAATCACTAGACCATACCCTCTATCAGGGAAGAGAGACTGAGTCACGCGCCACGCCGAAATTAAGCTTCAATAGAGAGGCAATTGACTTGAAAAAGGTATTGTATAATACTAAGCGCCGCTTCAGCCCAAGGCGGATAATCAAAGGTGCCACAGAAGGAAGACGTGTTAGTTTGTTTACTAAAATGATTGTATATGGCAAGTTTTGCTAGTCAACACTCCTCGTGTTTATTCGCGAAATTCAAATTTTTGACCAGCATACACCATCTGGTCGTATCAAAAAGGTCCAAATCTGTCCAAATCCGCCCGTAAACATTTTTGTTTTGGCACTGCTTATGGCAAAATAGTGAACTTAACGGCGCCGGTGGTGTAGATGTAAGCGTGATTACCTCTCACCCCAGCAGGCCTGGGTTCAATCCCAGTCGGCGCCGCCGGGATGTTCTGAGGCATAACATCTCACGCCTTCCTTCGGATGGGAAGTAAAGCCGTTGGTCCCCGGTTCATGAGTTGATGGGTCGATAGGTAGGGTCCAGGTGTGGGAGCTGCCTTCCTGGCACGTCGGTAGCATTGGTGCTCAGCACGGAAAACAAGATCGACGGAAAAAACAAACCACACCAACCCTAGTGTGGTCATGAGTGCCAACTCACCTTTAATTACCCGCCTTGGGTGCAGCTAGATAGTCGCTACTCACTGTAATCCGTTTGCTGCTGCTTGTATGCGGCTGCAGATGGTGATGGTGATAATGATGGTGACGATGGTAGAGATGAACACTCGATGCTTCCAAGACAAGGCGCCACCCGGACCAAGGCGGGTAATTACAGGTGAGCTGGAATTCACGGTCCGCTACACACTTACCTAATCTTACACGTGACGGAATTCATCTTTGACATAAAGGATGAGACGTAAACAAACATTTCATGTAAAATTAAGTACTCCGAGACTGAAAAGTTCGAAAGTACGCTTGATTGAGGTATATTTCGGGTCTGTTATGACTCAAATTTATGTCAAAATTGACGTTCGTATATGTCAGTCTCAGAGCACCTAATTTTTCTAGGTTTTTAGGGCTGGTGAGTTATTTTCCGGTAATGCTCTTGAAAAGTTCGTTTTATGCCATAAGCAATGTGTTTTGGCAAACAAAATTACGGGCGGATTGGGACTTATTTGGACCTGTTTCATACGACCGGAAGGTGTATGCTGGTCACAAATGCCGTGCCAAACTGATTTCCTACGCAATTAATCAACCTTTGATGTGAATTTCGCTAATAAACACGAGGAGCATTTCTTATAGCAAAACTTGCCATAACAAAATGGGCATAGTTCATTTTAGTAAACAAACTAATATTTCTTCCTTGTGTGTCACCTTTCATGCAGCTCCTAGGCCTAGAGCCACGTGTACGTGTTTTCAGAATTAGTGGCATCCACACGTGTCACGTGTAGTACAGTGAACGTACACACTTAGAAAAAATAATGTAAATTTAGGTGCTCTGAGAGGGAACGGTATATGCTCATCTCAATAGAATAAACCTCGTGGACAGCAACATCTGTCGGTGTGGAAACGGTTACGATGACATCGAACACGCAGTTTGGCAATGTACGGATAATGACGCCGCCAGAGAGCGACTTTTGAATACCCTCGAGGCCCAAGGAAGACAACCCTATGTTCCTATCAGAGACGTGTTGGCAACCCGTGATCTCTGCTATATGCAGTCCGTTTATGTTTTTCTTCAAATGTCTAGTATAAGAATTTAATTCCTTTTGTCTGGTGCTCTGAGAGTGACATATACGAGTGTCAATTTTGACATAAATTTGAGTCATAACAGACGCGAAATATAGCTTAATAAAACTTACTTTTCGTCGAGCAACGAACTTTTCAGTCTCGGAGTTTTTAATATTACACGACATGTTTGTTTGCGTCTCATCTTTTTTTTGTCAAAGATGGATTCCATCACATGTAAAATAAGTTATTTCTAAGTGTGTATTTAAGTCGGTCAGTCAGCTTCCGTACCCTTTGTGGGTAAATTTTACCTCCCTAAGGAAGGTCTCATAGCCGGGCAACGCACTTGTTGGATGGTCTCCTCTTAGAGTGGCGCATAAGCCATCCAATTAACTAAAAGGGAAGCTTGACAATCAGGCGAGCTAAAGAATTCCAAAAGAAACTGGTTCCATACCCGATAATACCTCCTCGTAACCTATTCTCCGTGCGGCTGAAAGTTTCTTTAACCCTCCGTTACTCGCACCAACTTTTGTAACACGAGTACTCGCGCGTTGTACTTTGTACACCAGTATGAGTTTTCTATTGCCATTTTGCAGCCGAGCTACCAATCGATATGAAATCAACGGGTATTCCTTAAAAAAACTTGTTTTTAACTAAACAAGCTAAACTTTTATCACAGTTCACCCCCAAAAAATGCGGATAATAGAGAATATGTGAATGGAAACCGCGTAAACGGTGTCCGTACTACGTGGGATTTGACTTAATTGGTTACAACATGGAAAATCTCGAGATCCTGACCAGATAGAAAGTTACTGTCTTCGGCAAAGTTGTTCTAGAGATCATAAACTTTTTGTTGGTGAAGAGTAATTCAGAATTTTCTCACTACATGTGAAATTATCGCATGTGACATATCTCTAGATCATGACCAGATAGAAAGTTACTGTCGTCGACAAAGTTGTTGATGAGATCAAAGCCTATTTTTTGGTGCACAATAGTTCAAAATTTTCTCAATACGCAGCGCTAGTATACACGTGAAATTCTTATATAAAATATCTCGAGATCCTGACCAAATAGAAAGTTACTGTCTTCGGCAAAGTAGTTCAGGAGGTCAAGGCCTTTTCATTTGTGGAGAGTAGTTCAGAGTTTTCTCACTTTGCGGCGCTAGTATACATGTATATATAAAATATCTCTAGATCCTTACCAGATAAAAAGTTACTGTCTTCGGCATAGTTTTTCGTTGGTGGAGTAGTTCAGGAAATTCCATTACGTGGCGCTAGTATATACGTGCAATTTTCGCATATACGATAGCTGGAGATCCTGAGCAGATAGAAAGTTACTGTCTTCGGCAAACTTGTTCAGGGGGTTAAGTGTTTTTGGCTGGTGGACAGTAGTTCAGAATTTTCTCACTTAGCGGCGCTAGTAAACGTGTACAATTCTCGCGTATGCTATAGCTCGAGATTATGAACAGTTAGAAAATTACTGTCTTCGAAAAAGTTGTTCATGAGGTCAATGCCTATTGCTGCACAATAGTTCAGAATTTTCACACTACGTGGCGTTAGTATTCACACGAAATTCTCGCATGTAAAATATCTCGAGATTCTGATCAGATAGATTTCGCTAGTGGACGTTAGTTCAAAATGTTCTCACTACGTAGCGCTAGAATACACGTGAAATTCTCGCATGTGGTTTGTTTCGAGATCCTGGCCATATAAAAAGTTACTGTCTTCGACAAAGTTGTTGAGGAGGTCAAAGCCTATTGCTTTGTGTACAATAGTTGAGAATTTCCTAAGCGGCGCTAGTATACAAGTGAAATTTGCACATATAAAATATCACGAGATCCTGACCAAATAGAATGTTACTGTCTTCGGCAAAGTTGTTGGCTGGTGAAAAGTAGTTCAGAATTTTCTCACAAACTCTAGGCTTTAACCTCCTGAACAACTTTGTTCAAGACAGTAACTTTCTATCTGGTTGGGAACTCGAGATATTTTATATGAGAATTTCACGTGTATACTAGCGTCCCGTAGTCAGCAAATTCTGAACTACTGAGCACCAAGCAATAGGCTTTGAACACCTAAAAAACTTTGTGAATCAAATGTAATCAATTAAGTCAAATCCCACATAGTATGATCACAGTTTATGCGCTTTCCATTTACATTTACCCCTTTATCTGCATTTTTTAGGTGTGTACTGTAATCAAAGTTTAGCTTGTTTAGATCAAAACAAGTTTTTTGAGGAATACTCGTTGGTTTCATATCGATTGGTAACTCATGTGTGGCAATGGAAAACTCATGTGTGTTGTACAAAGTACAACAGCGCGAGTAATGGAGGGTTAATAAAGAAATCTAATCAAATCTAATCTATTCTCCTTGGATTTCGTTCCGGAATGCCAAACACGAACAGTTGACCACTTCGCAAATCACTTCTGAATGTTTCGAACCGGCCAATCAACTGGTCAAGTGTGACCTCCGAACCGGAAAGTACATGTCCTGCTGTATGCTGCACCGAGGGGATGTTTCTCCGGTTGACATAAATCGTTCGATCCAGGAGCTGAAGTCGAAGCGGACAATACATTTTGTGGGTTGGTTTCCCACGGGGTTCAACATTGGCTGAACTACCAGCCTCCGATTGCCGTCCGGGGAAGAGACCTGGCCAAGGTAGATCGCGCTGTCTGTATACTTTCCTGCAACATGGACGTTCGATCCGCTTGGGCACGAATCAATCGCAAGTTTGGACAAATGTTCGAGAGGAATCATCACTTTTTGGACAAAGGTTGGTGCATTAGGTTGATTCGATTTAAATGCAAAAAAAATGGCAAAATTTATTTCATTTCAACTCTAGAAGAAAGTGACCTGTGCGATGCCAAATAAAAACATATCGACTCTCATATGCGACTACGAAGAGGTCGAGAAATAGCAACCTGAGATTGACTGGAAATGACGGAAAATTGTCATCATCATTGTGTGCAGCTATTATGCATTTATTACATGCACGTGAATCAACTGACGTGAATCGATAAAAGCTTTCCGCGGAAAGTTGACTGATTTAGTCAGTTTTCTGTCGTTCTGCTAGTAAAGATCTAACATGGAAAGATTTTATTGTTTCCTTCCAGCACTGATGGTGCTTGTTCCCACCGTTCGAGGCTACTGTACAACGACTATTCCCGTTAATCTACTGGAAGGCTGTGCCTTCAGGCCGCTGATGGCCATGTCCGAGCAATCGGGATGGGTGCTGTCGAAGGAGAACTGTGGCGAATCAATAGCCGTGGAAGTGTTCGAAGTGCCGCCGGTGTTGTTCTTTGATTTCACCGATCCGGAAAAACTCTACACGTTGATCATGGTGGATATGGACGGAGCAAGCACCGAGGATCGGCTGTATCTGCATTGGATCGTGGCGAACGTTCCGGTAAGTGCGGCTGGTATTATCTGCTTTTGTTGTGATCATCATCATTGAGCGTGTGCCATAAGTGCGCGATAGACGCTTCCAGAATGATTCAACATAATTTTTTCTAATTCTGATTACCATGATGATGAGGGCTTTTAATTTCCTTGTGTGTAATTTGATTATCATGTATTTGGTGGAGCGATATTTGGAGATGACATTGCATTAATAATATCGGTTATGTTTAGCGTAAAGTAAGACACTTATTTTGTATGTTGTATATTTACAGGGAGTGGGAAATAGTCTGGTTGAAATGTAAAAATATTGTATTTGTGCATTTGCTGAGCATGAATGAGTTGAAGGAATTCTTTTATTAGATACACACTGGTTAAAATCAAGAAATATTCGTTTGAAAATACCATACCAAACTATTAACGGTTAAACATGTTTGGTTTTCAATGAAGTCCCATTTGGCAGCCGTTGATCGCATCGTGAGATTTTACTGCTGCCTGAAGATTTGTAAGGAGGATGTTGCTGGGATCCTCAAAAACACGGCTTTAGCGTCTGCCAAGAATTCCGGATGTATTTACTCATCAGCAATTTGTCCCAACCCAGCAGAATCTTCCTACTATTTATCTCCCAACAACCAAATACATGCCCAAGTCCCAAAATGTAATAGTCCTACATCTATTCCTTCCAATCCGCTAAAATTGATTTCCCTAATTCATTTGAAATAATTACTAGAATAAATTTTATTAATCAAAAACCTTATTTATTGACAACCGATAAAAAAATATTAGTAGGCAGTTGCGCAAGCAAATTTGAAAAATTAAAAATACTAATTGATTTTGATTTCCAGTTTAAAGGTTTTCGAGGTTAATTCCTACCTCGTCTCCTTATAACTTTTCTCCTGTCTAAGGTGTCAGAGAGAATCAGTTGGTCTCCTGGAGCGATCTTCGCTGGCCTACGGGAACGACCTGACTTCTCATGCTCTCCAACTTCCTTCCTTGTGACGTCACTTTATGTTTGTATAATTTCTCTCCGTACGTGAGTCGACCTAATCTAACCCTTCTTTCTTCTTTCTCTTCTTTAACAATCTGTTCTGCCCTAATAATCAAAACCAAAAAAAAAAAAAACAAAATGTTGGTGCTCATATAAAAACAGTCCGGTACTTACACACTTAGTTTTATTTTCCCGAGCTCGGCTGTGCAAATCTCGGCAAAAAAAGTTTCACTGAGATCTCAGCAAAAGTGACATTTGATTGCTGAGTCTCGGATAATGCTTATCTGAACTTTTTTTGCCGAGATTTGCACAGCCGAGCTCGGTAGAAAAAACTAAGTGTGTACAGCTTGCTTCGGTTAAGTGGGTTACCTGGGACGGACCTTCTGCCGGCCGTTGAGTTGTCGGGATCGTAATTCGATGAACGATGAGGACCGATGCGTTGACGGAGATATGCGACACTCGTGTACCACTACAGCGGGCTTTGGGTCTGAGTTTCAAAGGACAGACTTTCCGTCAAACCGTTTAATCGCCAGGAGCGTAACCGACGAGCGATGACGTAGATTGGCGATGATTTGCCACGCTGCGAAACATTAGCCCGAAAATCCTGTTCGGTTTTCCACCTTGCCGAGAGTAGAGTGGTCGAATCACAGGAATTTCCACCGACGACCACGGAGAGGAACTTGGGAATTGAACTAGACTGGTATTGAAAATTACTTTCTCGGGACGTGATCCTAAGCGATTCCACTGGCTGTGGTGCACTTTCCCCTAACATACCACTCGCGACCTCTGACAGCCACGTGGTGATGGGTGGCGCTTGCAAGGCTGTCAAGCAGTTTTAGCGTTACTTTCTACCAGCGATTTCACAAAACTGGACCAACTAATTTCTATTTTTCTATCAAACGCACACATGTTAGTTACTTTTCTCGTGGTTCTAGAACAAAAAACCTCAAAATAATGTTTTATTTCAAAGTTCGAGTGGTAGTAAACGTCATTTTAACTGCTCGAATGAAGTGGTTAATTCGACGACTACGCTTCCTGATTGTAACCATAAAGTGATTCCTTGTAGAGTCCACAAATGGCCACCACGTAGGCTATACATACACTTCCTCTTCGAATTTTCATTTACACAAATCTCGGAAATCGGTGCCCCATTTCACCTCAAATTGCTACTTTATGTATGCTGCAGTCCAGCAAACGTGGAGTAACAATTTGAATGTTACACGTGTCGTAGAAGCTGATATTTGTGCACTGAAAGTTTCGAAGTGGTTCTGAGAATAAGGATATCACAGCGATTCACCTAAACGGTACGCAACCGTGAGACGAAGGATACCTCCAGGAGATCGCCCTCAGTCTGATCCGTAGCACTCCCGTATAAACAATAACCATAAGAAGTGCCTAACCGCCAATTAGGGTTATCATCCCAACTTTATGTGGTATGGTCGTACCATCCATGATATCGTTAGTGTATGGTACCCGTTTACCGTGACCAATGGAAAAAAAAAAACATTTCGAGATTGTCATTTTCACACCCATCACCATTCTAGCACTGTAATACATGTTGCCTGCTTCGAAGGCGCCGAAAATGAAATATATACCGTATGCATGATAATGTTTGCACCATTGAGCAATGTCAAAATTAAAAAAAATCTAAAAAATTTTGTTTTCGGGTTTTTTATCTATTCAAAGGGGGGATGTTTCTCAGAGTCTTAAACTATGTTAATTATCGATCGAGTTTCCACTTGCTGCAATTAACCACTTCATTCGAGCAGATAAATTGTCGTTTACTACCACTCGAACTTTGAAATTAAACATTATTTTGAGATTTTTTCTTCTAGAACCTCGAGAAAAGTAGCCAAAATTTGTGCGTTTGATAAAAAATAGAAATTAGTTGGTCCAGTTTTGTGAAATGGCTGGTAGAAAGTCACGCCAAAACTGCTTGACAAAGTGGTCAATTACGGCCTCCACACGCTTCCGGAATGCACGGCAGGTTCTAATAATGTAGTCTGGTTCCATTTCTCTCCAGGTACGGATCAATGTTTGTCTGACTCGGGTGGCGTTTAGAACAGGCCTTGGCCTTCATGACGTGCCATATTGAGTAATCCAGAGGATTAAGAACGGGGCTGGATGTCGGCCACATATCCTTCGCCCAGAACGGAAGATGTTTCTGCACCCACTTCTGAGTGTGGTTCGAGGTGTGGCACGGAGCCCCATCTCGTTGAAATGTAACATTTGGCTTCGGATCGTACTGTTCTTTGATCTACGGAAGAACATACTTACTTAAAATCCCGATGTAGACCTCCATGTTGACCTTGTCGCCTTCTGGAAAGAACACTGGGTCATTTTTTTGCCATCGGAAGCAACCAATCCAAACACCATAACGCTAGCAGGATGCTTGGTCAGGTACACGTTCTTGTGCTCGTCGGCCACGTCTTTTACCGGAAGAGAACTAATAATCCGGTCGGTTCTGGAATTTGATACGGGATCGACGGTAAACATGCTCTCGTCGGTGAACAAGATTACCGGATTTTTTTCGCTTTCGGAAGTTCAAGATTTTCTTGCATCGTTCGACTCGTAGCTCCCGGATGCGGTTGGTAATCATGTGAGTTTTTTTTTCGTGCCCTTGACTTCGCCCCGCAATCTTCCTTTACGATCTTCCGTGCCGTAAAGTCACTGATCCCGTGTTCCTTTGCCATTTTTCTTATTGAACGCACTGGATTCACCCGAATCTTCCTTTTGATAGCAGCGATAATCCTCGGAACCCGAGCTGACCTTGGACGACCTGTGGCCACCTTCGCGGATAGTTGTTCTTTTTTTTCGGTCTAAAACCCTTTTGACGGTCCACCGGGACACTCCCACGGCGATTGAAATCACAAACGAAGTGACAGACGGAGCGGCTCGAAAACTTTGGTGACTAACCTGCTATTGCAATTTTTCAGTGTACCACATGGCAACACCACTACCAGTGGATTGTACCACATGGCAACACTACTACTGGATTGAACTAGCATTTTCACCAAATGTACTAGAATGTTTTGGTTCTATCTCTTTCACTCTACTCAAAACTGGAATGCATAAAAAAATGACAAAATGATATACACTCTTTGCACACTGTCAAAGAATCATTGCACACAAAATCAACTTCGTGCAAAACCAAAACAAAAATACTATCCCATCTGGTGGATGATGGCACAAGCTTCTTAGAAAATTCTATTACAGCGAACCACATTATTTTAATTGATTTCTTCGCCAGTAAGTCGTCTGTCATTTCGTTTGTGATTGAAATGTCTTTTTGCGACATTTGCGCGTGGGACAAATCACGAATACGCTGCCACTTCGTCATGGTGCAACTGTCAAACTAAGTAAATCATTTTCTTTTATACACAGCCTACTACGGTATGAGCTATAGGTTACGTGCATGCAAAGAAAAACAAGGCATTGTATGCACAGGTGAAACGGGAACCTTATATGTACGATGATGCAAACATTATCACGCATACGGTACATCTGAATAGGGTTCTCAATGAATCTTGGACCGAAAGTCCGTTTCAAAGTAACAATTACCAGATACGACACCTGATTTTGTCGGAAGCGTAATTTGAATCCCGTGTAGTTCCCGTAATTTATTAAAAAACACAATTTTCGTATCCTGATGAATGTGGGCTTCTTAGTGGAATATCTGTATAAAGAGAGAGAGAAAGATTATTAATTTCCATTTAATTCCACCACCTTATTTGCTTATCCTTGACAGATTCGCGTATTTCGTCTACAATGTGCAGACTTCTTCAGTGTCTTGGAGACGAAATACGCGTATCTGTCAAGGATAATCTTTCTCTCTCTCTCTCTCTCTCTTTATACAATTTTCGTAATTAATCAACTTAGAATAAATTGATGTTTTGCATCTTGGTAGAGTGATGGCTTTTTTTTGTGTCATAGAGTTCTCTTGATGTTGACATTGAGCAACGATTATTTGCATGTAGAGAATGAATTTCTTTTATTTTTTTTTCTTATTTGATCTGTTTAATTTGTCTCGTCCGATCATTTTTATTAAACACATGCGATTTGATTAGATCAGCGGTCCTCAAACCTTCTTTGACTGCGACCCACTTTTAAACATTCCTTACATTCGCGACCAGGCCTGTCATGATAGTTTGGAATTCATTACAGTCAGAAAAACCTTATTGTCGGATTCCTTATTTTCAGGATATCTACGAATAAGGATCCGATAGAAGCTCTTCACTCTCCACCCATACGTCGGGAGCAGAATAGCTTTCCGTCCTTCCGCCGTTATCCAAAGGAGCAAAATCCATTTCAAGTCTAAGTACTTGAGCATCAAGTCCATCAAGTTCGAAAATAAACCGGAAAAGATATCTGAAAACTCATTTACCAGATGGAAACATCAATATTCCCACCGGCCACGCCATTGTCGTGAACCCACGAAACTTTCGTGCCGGATCACAAATCAAAAAAACGTTCACTTTTCTTTTTACACTCCATCACTACGCATCAAAACGCCCAAACAACCAACAAGCCCGCTAATTCGTCTTTTTGTAATATAAAGCTAATATTCGGCTAATACAAAGCTTAGAATGCTCTAGAGGACGGGTGAGTAGGCTCTGCCCGCGAACTGTGGGTTCTGTTTTCGCTGGCGCTGATTTCATCTGTTTTCCGCATATTTTTTAATTGTACAAAGTCAACAAATATTAGTTTTCTTAAATATATGTAGATTAATGCAAAATGGCACACCCCATGTGGCTCTCGTACAAGAACCTTACTTTCGTATAGGAAACTTTTGTCTAGGAAACCTCGTGAACCCAATTTTGCTACTTTTAGCAAAAGTGGAATGCCATGTGTGCGTGTCAATAACGCAATCGTCGCTATGCAAAACCACAGAGAACAGACGTTGAGGGTCGAATAAAATTTCTCTAATAACTAGTGTAAAGATTTCTGTTCGACTTAAGCGCCACTTACGGCGACTTCCCCACTTAAAAACTCTCTTTGACAACCTGATGGCGCTGGCGTTGCACAACTTACACTAGACACTAAGTGGTGGTAGCGCCAACTGGCAATTTTCAACAGAAAATTTATCGATAAAGCGCCAAATTGGTCGAAAGTGGCCAATTTATAGAGGAAATCAGCTAGCGCCACGTAACGGCGATGTTCCCACTTATCTTTACACAAGTTTCTGACCGAAGTTGAACGTCTTTTCTCTGTGGCAAATCTTAACGAAATAATGATGTTTGTGCTGCTACAATTGATGTTACCGTTGGAAACCTTAATAAGCAATACGTTTACTGTTTCAGTGCCAGGTTTTTATATTTATATCAGGTTCTTGTTTCAGACGTTCCCATTACTGCTCGTGGCATTACTGCCGAAAGTGTTAAATCAGTCCAGATAATTTAACACAATCGGAAGTTAGTCTATCTTTGAGCGATTCAACATTTTTCCTACTGAGCTCAACCTGTTCTGAAGTTATTAAATATTTTTGTTCTGAATACACGGATCTAGTGTTTTCAATTTGTAAAGTTCAGGACTATTCAAAGTGATTCTGTACGTGCTAAGCTTTTCTGAAATGGTTCAGTACTTTCCAAAATGGTCCTATGCTTTTCTCAAGTTATTCAGTACTTTCTGAAGTGAGTCTGAACTTTTCCAACGTGATTCCAAACTTTCCTAATGTAATTTAATGTCAGTACAGATAGATCTCGTTTTTGAAAACATAGCTACAGTGCACTCTCTACAACTCTATATTGAAGGGTTCATCGAGTTATAGAATAACAATCTCATACATATTCGCTATCGTAGTAGCCATGACATTCAGTTTTACTATGGTTCTGTAACTCGATATCGAAATGATTATGTGCTCCCCAAAGTGATTCTGATTTTTATACAGTGATTACATATTTTCTGAAGCGATTTCAAACTGATTCCGAACATTTCTGAAGTGATTATAAACTTTCTGAAGCGATTCAGTACTTCCGAAGTGATTTCTGAAGTGGTTCAGTGCATTCCCAACTGATTCAATTATTTTCAAAGTGATTCCGTTCTTGCGGGAATAATTACAAACTTTCTGGGATGATTTAGTACATTCTAATGTGAATCTGAAATTTTCAGAAGTGATATTGTCCGAAGAGATTCCGAGCTTTTCTGAGGTGATTCAATACATTCTGAAGTGGTTTCAAACTTGTCTAGAGTGATTCAGCTCTTTTCAAAGTGATTCAGTAATTGCGGAAGTACTTAAAAACATTCTGGAATCATCCAGTACTTTCCAGAGTGATTCCAAACTTATATGAAGAGATTCTGAATTTTTTAACTGATTCAGTACTTTCTAAAGTTATTTTAAACATGAACTTTTTCAAAGTGATTTTAAACATTCCTGAATGTATTCAGTATTTTCCAAAGTGATTTTTCTTTCCGATCTTTTCTGAAGTTATTCAATACTTTCTGAATTCTTTTGAATCGATTCAGTACGTTCAGAAATGATTCCGAACATTTCTAAAGTGATTCAATACATTCCGGAGTGAGCCCAAACTTTTTTGAAGTGATTCAGTACTTTCTGAAATGATTTCAAACTTTTATGAAGTGATTCAGTCCTTTTCGAAGTGATTAAATGAAATAAAGTGGCAATTATCCAGGCCCATACACATTTTTAACATTGTGAATGGACAATTGTCTACGCAGGGGGGGTGGGGGGTGCAAGAATCCCAGAAAGCTGTCTGAACAGTTCCTTACGAGTTTCATTAATTTCATTTCAGACTTAAAGTTTCACACTTAGAAAAAATCATGTAAATTTCGTCATGCGTCGAGCGTCAATTTGGACATAAATTTAAGTCATATCATACGCGAAATATAGCTCAATCAAACGTACTTGTCGTCGAACAACGAACTTTTCAGTTTCGGTGCACTTAATGTTACATGACATGTTAGTTTACGGCTCATATTTTATGTCAAAGATGGATTCCATCACGTGTCAAATTAGCAGTTTCTAAGGCTGTGTTCCATTTGGTGAATTTTCACTTATATTTGACAGATCGATAATTTTCAAATAAACCTGCTATTCCAGCAGACTTATTTCTGACAGACAATGAATCAACTTTGACAGATGCTTTCTCGAAAATCAGCCGTTCAACAACAGAGGGATTTTCGAACATCATAATTTATTTTCGAAGTGTCAAATTTAAGTGAAAAATTTCCAAATGGAACACAGCCTAAGTGTGTAAATACATATAGTTCAGCTTTTCTACCACCGTAGAAGCAACCAGATTTAAAAAAAATGCTCCATGCATTTTAAGATTGCACTCGTTGAAAATTCTAGCTAGAGCTAGAATTAAGGCGTAACAGCCTTTGTAAACAATGATTTCTCTCATTGATTTCTAGGAATTCAAGGCACGCCTACACAAGCCAACATATACACCGAGTAGGGGAAGTCTTCCCCTACTCGATGGTTATGTCGATTTGTCAAGGAGAGTCATGACTTTCGAGAAATCCTCGAGAGAAGTTATTGTTTACAAAAGCTGTTACGCCCTTATTCCAACTGTATCTAGAATTTTGAAATCATCACTTTCGTATTTCTTCTAATTCTCCACGGGTGCCTTTGATTTACCAATTCTCTTAGCCTAAATGTAGTTCGTGTTCGTACTATGAACCACGGTATGACTAACTCATACTGGCAATCATGATGAACTATACCTATACACGGAGCTACACTAGTTCTCCCTTCGGTCCGCTAGCAAAAGCTGTTCGCTTTGGAAGCTTGTTTCTGCTTTTCTTGGCAAGATGTCACTTTTGCTTCTTTTGTGCCTCACCTCTCCCTCTTAAATAGTTTCCATCTCTCGTTTCAGGCGTCCACTTTCACGCAAGGCATGACTTACATGGATGGTGATACGGTAATGGGTAAGCGTTCCGTTTTCTGAACCCTCTGTAACCTTTTTCGCAAATCTGTGCAACAATGTATGCATAATGTTCCAATATTCCACACAATGCAACAGACTTCCTAGCACCAACCTCGGGACACTATGAACACCGGTACGAGTTCTACCTGTACGAGCAGGTTTACGGTACCAGCTACCCGCCGATGCCCAACAGTCGTGAGGAGTTCGATTTGGCCGGCTGGATTAATTCGATTTACCCTGAGGGCGCACTTTGTGGTCCGGTTGCATCGATTGGTTTTAATTCATAGTCTATCGCGCGGAAGCTTTCTTTGCCGTTCCAGTGGAGGATGCGGCGGGAATTTCTGGGCACAATTTATTGACAGCACCGAATGGAAATGTAACAACAGATAAGAACTGGGATCTCGGGTGTAGCAGCAACGGCAGGAGCAGCAACAGCAGCAGCATATCTCGGGAGTACGGAAATTTATATAGACATCAAGAGAATAACTTAGATGTGGCCAATAAATGTCGTTGAAAACGAAGAAAACCTGTGTAACGATTCGAGGGCATACACACTTTAGGGGGTAGCCGACGCAGGCCGGCCGATCCATTCAACAGTCAATTTTTTCCCTTCTTTCTGCGAGCCCCCCCCTTCCACAAATCGCCAGAGGGTCAGCCTTTAATACCGTATAGACTTGTCCCACTGATGGAGTGCTGATTGTCGTTTCAGAATGGTCCCAGGTGACCAAAGTCTCTGAAGTCATTATTTAATGTTAAGGAAATATGTGCAATGAGAAATGTCGTATGAAACGAGCAGAGATAAGATTTCTCCCTCTGGGGGCTTGAATATTTGCGATCAACGCAAGACGTCGAAGACGTGTCGGCGTGAACATGCGCAGGTTCGATGAATTTAAATCTTACGCTCAATTGGAATCCAGCAACTTTCCGAATCCGGCCAGTGTCGGTGGAATACGAGCCTCGGCAGACTGATAGGGGCTCATAAGCAAATGTTAATGGTGACAATTTTGCGTTCGACAGTATCTTTTGGATGCGATATGGGGTAACGAAATGGGATCGGTTGGCTTAAAGCAGCGGAATATGTTGTTGTTGTTGATGATGTTGAATAATAATAGTTGACATGTGAAGTTTAGGGGACTTGCTTACACTGCGTCGAGGAGATTTAAGACATCTCTTAGCATGGATGGGATGTCTGTATCATTCAGTAATTTTCTATTTTTTTTGCTTAATTCACTCAGTTGAAGACTGTTGCTTCCTTCAACGTCAGTTGAATGCTTTTGGTGATTGGTGTATTTTGAATCATAAATGCTCGGTTATCTCTTTTTCGCGCCAAAAAGAGACTATTATGTTCAAGTATGGTTTGTTATGCACTGAAATTGAGCGCGTCAGGACCTAGGTGTGATTTTGGATACACAACTCTCGCGTCACTTTTCAAATAGACCAATGTAACATACACAGATAAAAATTCTGAATTTTAATGGTGATGTGAACATTCATTTACGTAAACTTAAATTTCATTTCACGCAACCGAACAACTTGTAAACAATGTTGTTTACAAAGATGGGCTTTTGGATACAATATTTGCTACATTGCATGAAATGTGTCAGAACTTTACATGATATAATATATAATATAATATAATAACTACTTGAAGTACACCCACGCGACACAACAGCAACATCGGGTAGGGGAAATTTTCCCCTTCCTGACGATGCTGTTGGTTTGCGTGGGCGTTCTTCGGGTAGCGAGTAAAGGGCCCACAAACCATTTGTTTACAAATGGCTTTTGCACCGTTTTCAAATGTTAGCACTGATATAATGTAAACTTATATGATATGTGACGCTCCATTTATGTGCATCATATTGAACAGAAATTTACACTACTATTTCGAACTGTGTATCCACCATTTTGAGAAAATCGAAGTTGAAGTTCGACAGATTATTATTTTAACTGTTTAAAAACAATACATTTTGCAATACTATTTTTATTGTAGTCAGTGTATAATAACGTTGAAAATTCAGAAGAAACGGTAAAATCACAATTTTACTTTGAATTTCATGCTACAACATAGAAAAAACCACATAGGACGTTTTGACAAGTCGAGTTGTATATAGGACATGTTACATTGGACGATTTTTCTCAATGACATAATCAATGAGTGTTACATTGGACGTTTTGTATACATGATACTAGATTCCCTTTCACAGATTTCAGAGTATAGTACCTAACTTTAGATTGGCCCCGCCTTTGGAAAATGAGCACCAATCATGTTAGGCAGTCCGAATGACCGAAGTAACAATCAAGTAACCATCATTTCAAACTGTACATTGGACAATTTTCGATCGATGATTTTCTTAAATAAATGAAAGTAAATTTGGATGGGTGTTTTTGTATCACATACAATGATAGAAGAGCAATAGCTTTTATCACTTAACTCGATTTGTTTACATTTGTTACATTGGTCTATTTGAAAAGTGAAGCGAGAACTCTCTTTCAAGCAGCACATCTCGTATGTCGTCCACATATGTCCACGTAAGTTCCACATATGTTATGTGCTTGAAGTTGAAGTTATCTGATGACGATTGTGCAACTCTTTACTCTTATGGTAAAATCTCTTATCTCTCCACTCCACCATGGTACCAGTGAGACGCCGTCTCTTCACGCAAATTGAGAGTATCGTATGGGATTTCTATAGGAGTGACAGGGTAAGGAAATGTCCACCATGTTTCACGCACAGACTGACGTTTCCTGAAGGGAATTTACCATAGGAGTAAAGAGTTTGTAAATTGTCAAGGTAATGCGGCCATTCTTTTTTCGACTAGCTCTACAGGGGGCTTATCAAAGGATTTTTTGACTAGTACTTTCAAGTCGGTCAAAAGCCAATCAAGAGCGTTATTAACCAGTGATATTGTTCACTGTGCTTTTAGTAAGTCAACTATTTATGTTATGATTGCAGCACGAAATATTCTGTTGATGGATGTTGACGTCAACATGAAAAAAAAAAATCGATTTTTTTTTTTCTAAAAATCTAGAGATAAAATTAGGGTAAGTAGGCCAGATTTACTAATGGTCCTAGAATTGACCCTATCGTAAATTTTACATTTTAAAATTATTTTTTATTTTTATTTTCGATACAGATACATATGGTTTGTCATAAATCTACGCAAATTAAACCATGACAATTTATTTCAAATTTGATTTATTTTATTTTTATGATTTATTTTAATTTTTGTATATTTTCTGCATTAATCGAGACACTTGTTTCAAAATTTTCTGCTTCTCGCTGGACTTCAAAAGGTTTGCAGTAAACTCTTAATTTGCGCGATTTTTTTTCCTCATACGAATCCATATGAAATCAAAGTTTGATGCAATTGATTCTAATGAAATAGAAAAAAATACGGAAAAAATGGTACATACATTTATCTCTTAAATTTACAGATAAAACATTTAAAAAATATGCGCGCGTGAATTTAGAATTCAAAGAATTAGACAAGTATTCGGGTGGAGTTTCCCCACTTTTTTGCGATAACTGCATAAAACAATACGTATCGCTTTCAAAATTGGGCAGTAAACAGTTAGCATATAGTAGCTTACAATGAAATTGCAGAATTCATCGTTGGGTGGCACGTAATTGCATCAAATATCGGTGAATAATGTCTCCTTTTTTAAATGCGACGTTAATATATTTTTTGCTGTGTAGAGCAACGTGATGAATTTGTTCAGTCCAGCTAAATAGTTCTAAATAGTTAACGATAAACAAAGGCATAAGTTCAGATTCTTAGCACTTCTGAACTTATGCCTTATAATATAAACCAGGTTATTATTATTTTAATACAATTGACTACCCACTTGAATTTCTTTCTCATTTTACAGCTGGTATAACCAATTTGACAGATCGATGTCTTTCTATATCACTTGAAATCACTGAAATGGGGTCCATTTTTGATGATCGAGTTCCACATATGTATGTAATGTGCTTTTGGTCAGTTATTTTGCATGAAGTTCCACATATGATATGTGAACATGTTCAGCGCAATCGGTGGTTTACAGAGACTCTTCAATAGGGTCTCCGCACTATTTTACTCAGACCTGACTCGCCAGCTGCTTCGCCGGAGGTTTAATTCGTTTTTTCAAGATTAGTTTAGTTTATCTAGTAATGTTCTTTTGTTTACGAGATGACTATTGACTTTTTGATGTTAAGTTTAGGTTACATCATTGGGGCCAATGACGCCTGTTGATGTTTAGTCATAAATAAATAAATAATGGCTATAATGTTGGTCTATGGATCTAAGATTGGGCCCATTGATAAAAACCTGCTTTTTATCTAGATGAACGCGTCATTGGGACGGTACTTATGAATATTTTTGGTCGCTATTGAAAATTTAGTCTGTAAAATCTAGGAATTTTTGTTCCGATCCCGAATCACTTCACTACGGATTCGCGAACCGGCCTTCGTGTTCTTTTTATTAACTTTTTCTAATTATTTCAGGATACAACTCGCGGTGAACTCGGACGGGGAAATAAAACTAAAAACGCCCGGACTCTTTGACCGTTTACAAAGTACTGATTTTATTTCGTATTCTGTTTGTTCTACATAGATTGTCTTCCGTTTGTGTGTGTGTTAGTGTTTAACTGAAGGTATATGGTATATGAGGATCAAAAGCAAATACAAACAGGGTAGGGTGGTTCGAAAAACTATTGGAATGTTAGGGTGGTTCAAAAAAGTTACTATCTTTGCATTTAACATTCCGGCCGCCAAGAATGGATTATTCTTCATCGGCGCTGGAGTCATATGATGACGGGGATTGCTGCTGGATTGTCTCTGGATCTATCTCCACCGGTAGCAGGCAGAGTTTGCTTACAGCTCTCTTCGTAACTCCGGTACTGGTCCTAACCGAAGCTACACGGACAAGCCCATCGGTTCCTGGATGGACGTCGACAATTCTTCCAACGGCCCACTTCTGCGGCGGCAGATTTTCATCTCGTAGCAGAACGATGGCACCACGGACGAGGTTGGCCGTAGTATTTGACCAGCGGTAGCGGTTGTGGAGGGTACAGAGGTAATCCTTCTGCCAGCGTTGCCAAAACTGCTGAGACAGGCACTGGACACGTTGCCAGCGGGACAGGCGGTTCTCTGGAACATCTTGCAGGCTGGGCTCTGGAATAGCATTGAGCGGCCTTCCCACCAGGAAGTGTCCTGGAGTTAAGGGTTGCAAGTCTTGCGGGTCCTCTGACATAGCAGTTATTGGTCTTGAATTCAACGCAGCCTCAACTTGGATGAGGGCGGTTCTGAATTCAGTTTCTTTCAG